AATCAATCGCAGGTCTTTCAAGGAGCTGCAGCTGTCGGAATCGGGGTTCGCCCAATCCACACGCAAGGTCAGCGCACAATCCTGGGTGCAGCACAGGTGGCCATGAAGCAAAACACCACAGAGATCTCTTCGAAAATAGTTCGCAAACCTGGAGCCCAAACCCCGTCAGCTTTCCGGACCAACTGGAAGCTTCAAGCCGCCAGAAAAAGCATCTTGCGACTGTCTGACACGAGCCAGCGCATCATCAGCAAGAAAAGGCCCGAGGTTGGTGAGCGGAGATGATTCTTAGCATACAAATCCTACTGATGTGCACAGATCCGAAAGATTCCTGAAAGCCCCATGACTTGGCCGAGGCCTGCCGCCCAAGCAAAGACCGGAGGTGCTCCAAGCGAACGCGTCCGTGCGTGCAAACATCTGGTGACGGGTTCAGCGGTTGCCGGTGATGGGCAAGATCTGGAAAGCTCCTCAAGGTCTTCCGGGAAACGAGGATCTTCGATTTTGCAATTCCTGCGGATAATCTGCGTGGCCTGCGAAAACAGCAATCGATCCGCTGGACATCTGTAACGCACAGACATTTGCTCCCGGCAAATAAACACAAACAGGAAACAACATTCAGCCGTACTCCCCCACATGTCTGTCGATGCACATGAAGAACAGCGCCGCCGTGACACTAGGCTCACTAGACTCACTGCACCACTAGATGATTCTGCGAAAGTCCATGAAGCACTCGCACACAAATCCTGAGTATGACAGTCGAGCTCCAGGCACACGAAGGCAGGCCTTGGGGACTCAACCTTCCCACCTTACGGAATTTATTGGCTGCAAGTCGCCGAAAGACTGCGAAGCGACAGCGAGCCAGGCCGTGCAGGTTGTGGGCGCTTGGCCGGCGCACAGCCAGGGCATCGCCTCGCTGGTACGCCTGGGGTGTCCGGGGATGACCCATGGCAATGGCATGAAAGAGTCCGCAGGAGATTTCAGATCGGTGGGGCAGGTTGGGTTTCCTGATCCGGGTTTTCAAAACTCTGGACCTCCACCGCGAAGCGCAGCGCCGCTAAACCAACTACGAGGCCGTCACCACCACCGCAATCGTTAACCCCAGCCACACAACAGCAGCAGCAAGAACAACAGGGGCAAAGATCTCAATACTCGGCATTGACGTGTGGTGCAATGGTGGTGGTGGTGGTGGTGGTGGTGCTGCTGCTGCTGCTTCTGCTGCTGCTGCTGCTGCCAAAGATGACAACATCAACGATGATGGTGATTGTGACGGTGATGATGTTGATGTTGATGATGGTGATGATGTTGTTGTTGTTGATGATGGTGGTGATTGCAGCTATGATGATGATGATGCCAAAAGATGATGTGATGAGCCAAGGAAGCTCAAAGGAAGGTACCACTGATCTCACCAGAAATCAGAAATGATGAGCATGCAAAGACTCTGTGCAGCGGCGTTGCCCACGGCAGGTGATCAGCGGCAGCCCGCCGGCCCTGGTCTCTGTGGATTCGGCCAAAGAGGTCAAGGCGCCTTGGACATCTGCCTTCGGACGTCCTACCGTTTAGTGCAAGACTGGTCTTCGACGCTTGCCGGTCGTCCCTGCCATCATGATCACCGTTGGTCGTCTTCGTGGTGGTCGCCGCACCCTCGTCGTCGCTGTCGTCGTGGTGGTCACGATGTTGGGTCTTTCTTAGTGCAGTGCTTGAGCTGTCCTTGATTCTTGCGCTTCCTGTCGTCGCCGTTGGTTGTGTTGGTGCTTTTCGAGAACTTGCATGTCCGATCATCGTCAATTTCATGAACCTAGACTGTTGCTTCCAGCCGGAAGAAGATCCGGAGGTTTGGTCGACGACCGGCGACATCTGGGGCCACTTCTCCATGCGGAGTCTCGTCAGTAGAGCACCACCCTGTCTCGGGTTCATGTTTTGGGAGTTCCCGTTCTACCGACGCCCGTGGCATGTTCTTTGTACGAAAGCTGCGGAGCTGTGAGATGAAAGCGGCAATGCAAAGGAAAGTGGACTCAAGACCTTTGCCCACAGCTGCCCCCCGGCTACACTTGATGCGCGGCATACGGTTAGCAAGCGCTACTCGTACTTATTATTTGTGAACATGGTTCTGAGCATTCCAGAAGGTCTGGCCACCACCCCACGTCCTCGCCGTTCAGATGTCGCTGATCCGAATCGCGAAGGCTTGCCGGTTCGTTGATGCGTGTCAATTCGCCTGAAGGCGATTTGCCGTAAGCCGATCCAGCACCATCCCTCGCCCTATCTCGCCCTGCTCCTGGATGCCTGAATCGACAGGGCCTCTGCCGACGCATGGGCTTCTCTGTCTCCCATGCAGAAGAGCTCCTGGCAGCGCAACAGCAGAGGACCTGGGGGTGAGGGATTCTGTGAGGTTGTTTGACACGGCAAGCTACAGAGCTGCCAGACCTGAGCGACATGAGCCTCCTGCACCCCTGTATCTGTTCTTGTCATACCTCGAGCCGTCCTAGGGTCAAGGGCGGAAAGGCTCAAGAAAACGATTCATGGCAAGAAGCACAGAAGCGGGGTGTCGTGCGTGTAATTTCACGTGGATGCACGAAGGGAAGATTTCCTTTCTCAGGGCGACGCCAAAGCGCTCGGCACAGCGGAGTGGGCGCCCGAGTATCATTATGGCTCCACCATGGACCATAGCTGCCCGCTTAGCAGGCTGTGCCCGGAATTGCCCCGTGATGCTCTCAGGCCTCAATGCCACCGAGCGGAGAGCACAGGCAGGGAGCTGACATGCGAAGTCCATAGAGTTTTAGAGTGCTTCTGTCTGAAATCCAAGACCCAGGGTCATCCATTATAGGATCTCAGTGGTTTGGGAGCTTTCGAACTTTGCCAGATCGCGGCACGACGGGCCGCGAAGCAGCGCCAGGCTGTAGGGACCTTGCCCAGCACTGCATCTGCTGCGTACTCCGATGCGTATCTGCAACTTCAAGGGCACCTTGGCCATCCTGAAAAACAATTCATAGCATATCATCCAACGGAATATTCTGCAGCACAGCCTGAATCACCCAAGTGGGGGACTGGAGAATGCCGCTCGTCCTCCGCTGGTCCCTCCCGTGAAAGGCTTTGACCTTGGAATGCAGGACAACCGCCAGGAAACCCACTTGTCAATTTCTGCTCGCTAGCACCTGACTGGGGGCTTTTGCTCCTGCCTCTCGTCTCGAAATTTCCGAAGTGGCCACCAGGCCGGCAGCTCAACAATCATCAACTACCATGCCACTTCTGTGTCTCCGCCAACCTGTGTAGGGCCTGCGTCCAGACAAACTGTAGCCCTCTCCGGGAGCGCGCCAGGCCGCCGCAAAGGTTGGGGGCTCAGGGCTTCCTGGTTTCTACCACGGGGGAAGCTGATCTAAAAGCGCTTGCAGTGCTGCGGCTCAGGCCGCAGAGATCGAAGCGCAGGCCGGGGGTTTCTGAGTCCGTGTGCCTAGCTTCGCCGGCTTGAACTCTGACCAAGGAGGTGCCCCTGGTCTCTCCGACAGGCTGGGAACGGAGAACTGGTACTAGCAAGGAATGAGCAACGGGTTCTGAGCATTGTTCTAGTTTGGAGTATGGTGTTGAACGATTATGATCCGGCCAGCGTGGCTGGCGCAATCCTTTTCGCACAGCCAGCGCATTTGCCGAAGACGGCTCCTTCCAGGTGAGGACAACGGGTCTTCTGCACAGGACTCTGTGGATGCAGGCCTGGGTCCACATAGGTCGCACTCATGTTCATGCATGATATCTAGTAGCCGTCGCTGTGGAGATTGAGTGCTTTGTTAAGACTTCTGCATGCGGGGTTTGCTCCCGAAAGGCATCGAGGAGGAGCTTCCCGTGCTAGCAACTGGAGGTTCGCGAGGGGAAAGTTGCACAGAGCGGCTCATCAGACAGGCGTTCTACCACACTTGTACTTAGATTATGTCAAGTATTCGTTTTGTTGCAGCTCTGCTTGGCGATTCCCATGAGCTGTGCAAGATCCTTTCGGGAGTGCTGAGGCCAAGCCCCTCAGCGGAATGTGGAAGAGGCCCGGCTACTGCGATATACTGCGATCGCCCGGTGACGTTCAGTTTTTCCCCGGGCGTTGTGGGGCACGTGGAAGGTCAGACAGGCTGGCTTGGGGGATTGAGTCTCTAATTCCGCTAACTCCTGTACCTCCGGTCATCATGACTGCTTCTTGCCTTGCAGGTGATGCCGCCGCCCGTGCCCGAAGGCCCCGGTCTGAAATGACATACTACCTTGTACTACGCATCCGTAGCGGCGTAGGTATGTATGTCACGTGCATCCATAAGTACAGCCATCCATCTGTCCATACACCGATACATACATCCATACCCTCATGCTGGCATTCATGCGTGCGCATTATTGTCAAGACGGCGCCTCAAAGCAAGAGGTACCGTGCGTCGGTACTTTCAACAGCTTGGGCCTGGGTTTCAGGGTTTCTCAAGCTGGTAAACAAGGAAGCGCAGCATGCTCTCTTACGCCAACTTGAACATCAATGCTGGAAATGTTGCTCAAGCTCGAAGGTCATCACCGTCAAAGGTACTTTATGTACGTACGCAACGTGAAGAACACATGGCTGTGGTGGTTCAGCTTCCCGGCACATAGCCTCTGCATCGCCTTAATAGATGTTATAGATGTTATAGTTTCTCGTGCAGCGTCTTTCGATTCAGCCCTGGGAACCGTGAGAGGAGGCAATGGGAAACTTCTGCGACTGTTGCGGCGTCAGAGCCAAAGGGCCGGAAGGTTTGCCGGAGTATGGCAGCGGAGGCAGTGCCAAGTGTGGGTTCGCTCTAGCCAGAAATGACAGAGCCAGAATGGAAGACGCCATTTAGATCCACAAGGATGTGGGGGGATACACATGCGCGGCCGTCTTTGACGGCCACGGTGGTGACAAGGCTGCCAAGCTGGCCAAGGAAGTGCTCCCACAGAAGCTGGATCACCATCTTCGGCTTACGACCGACAAGGAGAAGGCCATTACCGAGGCTTTCGAGGCAGCAGAGGAGTGCATGTATCCAGAACTGGTTGACGAGGCCAGTTTGTCACCGTCGGGCACATCCTCCGGAACGGTGGCATGTGTTGCTCTTCTCCAAGAGAAGGAGCTGTTGTTTGTGAACTTAGGCGATTGCCGAGCAGTGATCTGCGACGGCTCAAAGGTATCCACCAAGACGGTGGATCATTCCCCCGAGAAACATGCCGGGGAGAAGCATCGCCTGCAGGAGCTCGTCGTGAACATCGACGGAGGTTATGTCGACGGCAAGGTCCAAGTGTCCCGAGCCTTTGGTGACATTGAAGGTAACACAGGTGCGAAGATCCATGGCCTAATCTGCAAGCCGGAGGTCACGGTCGCTACTGTGAAAGACAGTACAGAGTTTGTGGTGATCGCGACGGATGGCATATGGGATGCGCTGCAGGAACAGACAGTTCTGACAACCGCCCGAAAGGTGCTGCGCGAAAGCCGGTCTTCAGAAGCGGCCGCGCAGGCAGTGCTGGAATCTGCAGGACGGGTTTCCAAAGCAGATAATGCGGCTGTCATCGTTCTGGCCATCAACATTCCTGAGCCGCTTCCAAAGCGTGAGCCCGGGCAGTTTCGTTTGAAATTCGGCTCCAAGACGGAGTGAGGCTTATGCTTTGCACATGCATGATGGCCATGTCTCGCAGGCCTATGTCTGCTGTTCCACGAGGCATCGGCAAAGCAACATTTGAAGACATTTGAAGAAAAGACGTGCTGCCAGTCTGACATGAGGCTTTCTCTGCAGAGCAGGGCAACTCCCCGGCTTAGTGGTCTTTCTCAAACGGAGAGAGGCGATGCGGAAGCGGCGGAAGCGGCGGAAGCGCCTGAGGAAGGTGCGGAAGCGGAGGCTCCTGCGCAAGCGGACCCCGATGCCAGGCCCAGCGGTCCAATTGGGAGACATCCTGAGAGTCGCGCTTAACACATCTTAAAACTACCGGGGTGGGCTGTCAGTAGCCATGATGGTCGTCGCACTCCCATTATTGCATTGGTAGCCTTAGCCGGAGGACTGGAGTACGAGAGGAACCGGAAGATGATGACAGCGGTAGATGTAGTCCTCCTGAAGAATGGCAGGGTATGGGTAGGCCGGGTAGGAGTAAGAGGAGTAGGCAGAGGTATGTGGTAGTTGTGCTTGTGCAGAGCATCAGGTCTGTTAGTTGATGGCACCAGCAGGAACAGGACTGGTGGTAGCACAGATGCTGGTGTCTATGCTTCTTGTATGATGGGTTGAGGATGACTCGTTGAACTCGTATTCTTCAAGCATTCACTTTAATTAGCTAGCAGCAGTGACCATATCTACTCTATCTGCAAAGGCCGCAGTATCGTCGAGGTGAAAGCAACAGCCGGGAAGAGCAAGGGAGGGGTCAAGAGTCAGGCAGAGGGAGCAAGCAGTGAAAGGAGAAGCGACACAGATCTGCTGGGCATGCAAATAGTAGTCGTGACATGCCCAGATGGTTTCAAAGATTGGCTTGTGCTGGGATGGAGGCCGGAAGAGGAAGAGGATGAGGAGGAAGTCGACGTTGCCCAGGCCCTTTGGCTATCTTAGCCTTGGCCGAGCGCCTAGTTTCAGCCTTCTGATGCTGCCAGGTGAGAAGCGATGCTGCCGGTCAAGGAGCGACCGTCTCTTCCGTAGTGTTTCCGCATGAGCATTGCTTTTGGCAGCCCAGTTGATCAGCTTTGCTACATCGTCATGACACATCTTGGCGGTTTCGGGTGCTGCTCGTTCTGGCCCACCCTTGGGCGAGTCAGGCACGCAGCCGGGCGAGAGGAGAAGCCGCAGGTCTGTGCTGACCTTTGGCATGCCGGGTGTTGCAGTTTATTTGGCTCCTGCTTCCTTTGGATGATTCCTTGATGCTGACACTGCCGCTTCACGTAGTCTCACACAGTGCTGCAACTCGATCCGCGTCCAATGCACTGCTGATTTCCTCTGCAAGGGCATTCACGCAACAGTCCCGGACCAAGCTGAGTTCTAGCATTGATTGCTGTTGTGGCATGTAGGTGCAGGAACGAAATAATTTCCTTGATTCAGGTCGTTCAGTTTTGCTACGATTTGATCGTGATGTTCAGTTGGGCACAAGCAAGAGTCCTTCCCACAGAGCTGTGTAGGTTGACGGCCAAAACTCTACGCAGACAGCACCCGAAAAGAGCCTCTGGCTTCGAAGAATCTGATAGGAGCTTTCAACTCTCCGTACTCTTCTCCTTGTCACGTAGTCTATAGCCATGGGCTCGCTCAGCTGAGAACTGGAGAGTGGCTAATGCTATAACTTTAACGAACCAGGCAGATGCGCGAGATGATCCGCAACCATGCGTTTTCCTCTGGGTGCGGCTCTTGAAGTGAAACCGCATCACCATGTCAGTGCTTGCTGTTGTTCTTTGCTGGTTTCTATCAGACTCAAAGTATTGGTGAGGCTTCTTCGCATGTCAGCTTGGGCGCAAAGTTTAGGTTTAGACAGGTGCGCAGACCGCAATCTGCAAGCGGTTCTTCTGAGGTTCCAGAGCTACAAGCAGTTTGCCGCCCGACCGGTTCCGCAAGATGACGACGAGATGAGGCTCTGCAGGGTGGAAGATTGCTCGGACCTCCTCGATATTCTGGAGAACACCTGCTTACCTCAGGCCTCGCCGCAACTCGAAGGAGCGGAACGAGCCGGTGCGGAAGCGGCAGGAGTTCTTCGGGTGTGCAACTTACTCCTGCGATGCTGAGCAGTCGCTATGAGCATGTGACCACAATTGAGCGGACAAATTTTTGTCTGTCCATCCGTGTATCTAGTCCATCCATCCATCCCTCCCTGCCTCCCTCCCTTCATCCATCCGTCCATCCATCATTCCATCCTTCCATCCCTGCATCGCAGCCCTGCACCCATGGATCCTTGCCTCCATGCATCCATGCATGCGTGCATGAGTGCCCGTATGCCCGCATACCCACATACCCTCACGCACTCATGCACACACGCATGTATTCATTCGTGCATATGTTCATACATTGGCTGCCTGGATTGCATACATTGCTCATGCCCTCAAGTCGAGGAACGTACACCTCGCCACAGATCTCCCTAACTTGTCACCGACTCGCCAGGCTACTTGCGACTTGCTTGCCCGCATTTGCCAAACTTGCAATTGCATGTATTGTTATGCTGTGCATATATGCCCACCTACCTCTGTGATTGCGCAATTGTGTACAATCTACACGTCTTGACATATACAGGCGCTGGCCATGTGTTGGTAGCGGTGGGCTGTGGTAGGTAGGTTGCTGGAGTTGACAGTTGAGAAGTCGTCCTGGACCAAGACGCAAGCCGGCCGTCTTCGGCGTGGAGCTTCTTACCGATGCCGAGAAGGAGGCTGGCCAAGAAGCCGTTCCAGCAAGAGTCTTCCTTTGCGCCCGCTTTCCGGCCTGCTGCCATTGCCAGGTAGTGAATATGCAGAGCGAGCTATGTCTGCTAGTAGTCTGCTAGTACTCCCAATAAGAACAATCATCATAATATTTATCATAGAATGTAATGTTGGACAATTGCCCATAAGTCGTCGTCATCATCATCATCATCGTCGACATCAATGTCAACATCAACATCATCATCATCACCACCACTGTAGCCATCATTGTCACCAACATCAGAATTGCCATAATCATCATAATCAAGACCGTCATAACATTCGTAGTAGTCATGTTAGTCACAAGAATAGTCATCATAGTAGTCATAGTAGTAGTAACAACATTCATAATAGTCAGAATAACGGCAATAATCACGTTCGTCGTCGTCGTAGTCGTCGTCGTCGTAGTAGTAGTAGTAGTAGTGGTGGCAGTAGTATGGTAGTAGTAGTGGTGGTGGTAGTAGTAGTAGTAGTAGCAGTAGCAGTAGCAGTAGCGGTAGCAGTAGCAGCAGCCACCACCACCACCACCACCACCACCACCAAGACTAACAGTCACAACTGCGAACACTAACAATGATAGTAGCAATACTGGTAGCAATAATTGCAATAGTAATACGAAAATTAATCATACAAATACTAACAAAAGAATGATATTAATAACAGTCGTAGTGATCATTACAACGAAATCTACAATAGCAATCGTAATACTAGACATGCTAGCAATAACTAGCCATACCTCGCAGTCTCTCATGATGGCCAGGCATGGGAGGCTGGCGTAAAAGGTCTCGGCCAACGATCTGCCTCGGAGGCTGCTGCCATGGGGTGGACCCTGTGATTCAAGCGCTGAGGATCCTGAAACAAACAACGAGTGTATTGTATTGTTCTATATTGTACTATATTATACTATAGTGTTTTATTATTATATTATATTATATAATAAGCTTGGCTTCCCGGATGCCAGGGTGCCCTCCTGCGCTACGCGCAGAATCGTGTGGAGGACATGACGCGATCTGTCCGCCGGCGGCACGTGTCTTGCAGCTCAATGCCCAATCGCATGATCTCGACCTCTTCCGAGCGAAGGTGAAGAAGTCGCTGGGCGTGGACGTCACCCAAACCACTCGACGAAGGATGAGGCAGGAGATGACCGGCCCGTCAGCCCGCACGCCTTGTAAGAGTACAGAACACTTCTTTATCTGCGCCGAGATGTACAGAGCTTCGACACCTTTTCACTTGCAGCAAGCACGGCCCCTTCCCCGTCGTTCTTCCGGCTCGCAGCATCCGAACTTTGTTCTGATGCTCTGAAATCAAGAGCCCTATGTGCGTCCGTACCAAATCCGAAGAGTTGTTCCTTGGACGGGCAAGAGGAAGAGAGGCAGCGGTGCATGTGCTTTTGGGCATAAGCCCTCGCGCCAGCACTGAGGCTACGAGAATACCTGATAGGATGAGGTCGGCATGGTCCGGGCCCCACTTCGAGAAAGTTTGTTCACGGACTTGGGTCTCAGAACTGATGTCATTCTTTTTGTGGGGAGTTGAGGTTTGTCTACTGTAGAAGTTGCGGGTTCTCATGGCTGAGGGCATCGGGTAGATGCACAGTATCCGCGAGGATTCGAGATTTATCTTCGTGCATCATGATGGGCTCCTCTCATCAAGCCAAGCTGAAGCATCATGACGGCCCACCCTCTTGCCTGCCAGGGGGGACAAGGGGAAAGGCGGCAACAACTGGAAGGTCCGACACACGACTTCCAAGGCGAGTGGGCTGGGGATTTTGTCGGATCTCCGGAACGCGTGCGAGGGCCCGGGGCATGGATGCTTGGATTGGAGACACGGGAGGGGAGGCATCCAAGCAAGAATCTCTAGCAAAAGGAATCGACGCGCACTGAAAGTCCTTCAGGGAGTGGTTTTCTGCATGTGTGTGGTTGCGTGCACATATCATGTAGCATAATATATTAGTATAATATAGTATCATTTCATATAGCATAATATAGTACCATACAGTACAATGTAGTACAATACAATATAATATAATATAGCATAATATAACACAGTATACTATAATAGAATATGCTATACTATATTATAATATAACATGATATAATACAGTATAACATACTATATTATAGTATTTTATATTATGATATGATAAAATATGATATAAATATGATACAATGCAATGCAATATAACATAACATAATGTAACATAATATAATACAGTATATGTACAATGCAAGATAGTATAATGTAGTATAATATAGTATAATATAGTATAATGTAATACAATACAATATAATATAAGATAGTATAATATACTGTTATATACCATACTATAATAGAGTATAATATAATATAAGACAGCATAATATACTATTATATACTATACTACAATATAATATAATATAATACAAGGTAACACAATATAATATAATACAATATAGTAGAAGATAATATAATATACTATAACATAATACAATATAATATAATATAATATAACATAATATAATATGATAAATACATTATAGCATATTACAAAATAGATAAATTAACATATGTATGTCTGTATGTATGTATGTATGTATGTATGTATGTATGTATTTAGTTAGTTAGTTAGTTAGTTAGTTAGTTAGTTTGTATGTATGCATGCATGTATGTATGTATGCATGCATGCATGCATGCATGTATGTATGTATGTATGTATGTATGTATGTATGTGTACTCGACTTGGTGCGATGGAGTTTCGTTGGCAGGCGGCATGGAATTCAGAAGAAGGTGGGGACGCAGCCTCAGTTGTCACTCATTGAGCCAAGGGCTAGTTGCCCTTAGTTAGGTTTTGAAGGTTTTTTTCGCTGTTTCAATCACTGCGGCTGCAAGAGCGCTAGAGATGTCGTGCTCGGTTGGCCAAGGAAACAACCGTCGTATTGACACGCCCCTCGGCTTGGCTTTTATTCCTCCTTCTTCGCCTTCTTCGTTTTGTGTTCGACACAGCCCGCAGGTCTTCCGAAGACTCTGAATGCAGAGATTCTACTGGATTTACTGGATGACCTCTTCCCCTGCGCATATGACTACTTCTATTTGCCCATGGCGGCTTGGCGGCATTCCTCCGAAGGAGAGGAGATCGCAAGGCAGAGGTGCTCCAGGTCCTCCCAGGTCCATCGGCAACCGGAAGCGACTTGAATCGACTCTGAAACGTTTCAGTCATATAGGGTTCAAGGTTCCGGGAATTTGCTCCTGATCTACTGAACAGTTCGGAGAGTTTGTCCGAGGACATGGACAAATTCGAGAACCAGGGCTTAGCTGCTCGGCCGAGTTGAAAGCTTGCCTGAGGTCGATCAAGTTTAGCGAGAGTGTCCGGACAGGCTGTCAGCCCATGTGTCACTTCGCTGTCCCAGGCTTACATTAATTTTCGAGACCATGAAACAGCTGTGCAATGCCCTGGCCTCGGCATTTGAGCCTGGCGTCGGCACAGCCCCTTTTAAAGATGCTTCGCATGAAAAACCTGAGCAACGAGACAGCCAAAATCAGCTGCTACCAGGATTTGTCTCTCATTCTGCATCGCTGGAATCTATCTGGAGTCCCTCCACGCTCCTTCAAGGTATGCTCCAGCAAAGCTGGGGTTACCTACAAGCCACGAGAAGAATCAACATGCTAAAGCGAACGGGTCAGCAGCATGCCTCACCGCCTTGAGGCATCGAAACCTGAAACCTCCCACATGACTGTTACACGGAGATTCATCCTGAACCCCGTTCATCTGCAGCCCTTGGGACTCAAAGGTCCGACACACCTTGGTGTATCAGCCGAGGCCAGCACCACTTCGAGGGCACCGACGACTCCTGGTATTCCTTTGCGGTGCTCGTGTGTGTGTGTGTGTCTCTCTGTGTCTGTCTCTGTGTCTGTCTCTGTGTGTGTGTGTGTGTGTTTGTGTTTGGGGAGTTCCGAAAGTTTTGGTGACAGGCGTTCCATGCAGAATCATGTTCTAGTTGGCCAGAGTCTGCCACGAAACTTACGTACAGGTTGTTGGGAAGGCAGACGTTTTATGAAGCTTTTAGCTGAATTCACGTGCTTCCGAGGACTGGCAAGGACACACTTGCTCCCCAGTTGCAGTGGTCCACTGGTGCATGTCACGTGTCCATGCTTTTGTGGCTCCGCGCTTGCAGCTTGAGCGGCGCAGCTCATGGAGACAGCTCCTCGCTGTACGAGAAGTGAGGCGAGCGCCCTTGCAAACCAGAGTGGTCCTCCATCCAGGGCTATGCAGCTTGTATTGAAAAGGGGGGCATATAGAGTCTGCGCTTGAGGCTCTTGGGGGCAGGGGCTCTGTGCATTCGTCAGGCTGCAAACATTGAGCGGCAACAGAGCCCTTGGCAGCACTGCTGTGTTGCTGTTCAGTAGTTTGCATGCCTCCCAGCCCCACATCCAGCCTGAGCCCAGCCCTCAGATTGATCTTCGAAGGAAGGACAGGAACGTAACGGGAGTTTCGAGAATTAGGGGAATGACCAACATCACAGCTGCAGCAAAACTCCACACCAACCTTCCCTGAGAACGACATGTGCTGACTCGTGGCACAGAGATACGAGTTATCAACCTATAGTAACCACTCTAGTAACCTTTGTTGGAATCTGCATGGCAACCTTCAGAGCAACCTTTGCAGTAACCTTTATGGCGAGGGCGAAGTTCAGTGGCCCGACAGTGGCTCCTTGCAATCGTCCAAGCAAGTCGTGTGTCGCCACCCGGAAGACAGTTCGCCGCGAAAGAATTGGCCGCGACGAACTCTTGTAGCCTTTGGTAAGAGATTCCGGGGGATACCTTCGCCCTTCACCACGGAGCATGCTTCAAGCTTTTCGGGTCTTGACAGAACAATCCTCGGCTCCGCTTGGTGGCCCTAGTTCGAAGCGACATCACAGGCGGTCCAGTTTTCCCTGTCCATGTCATACGCAGTATGCTATGACATAACTTTTCGGAGCAAAAACTTATCAGGCATCGATTGTCCTCCGCTACTCGTTTACGTAATAGCGTTGTGTTTCTCCTCACAAGTCTCAGTTTGTCGACGAACAAGATCGAAAACGTGTGGTGAAAGGGCAAATGCGCTCCTCGATTGTCACCGCAAGGAGATCAGATTGGGTCAGCGGCAACATCCCCGAGGACGCAGCAAACTTCAGGGGACAGCTCGTTTAGATTCAGTGGGGGAAGTCTTGTCCATGGCAGCGTTCGAAAATTAAATGCTGTTTTCAAAGCAGGCACCTCTGTGTTGATCATCGCGCCGATGAATTACATCCATTCCTTTCGGATTAGTTGTGCTCTCGCGAGATCATGAGGACTGCAAGCCTATGGCCTTTGATGAAAACGGACCCTTGGGCTGTTGATCAGCCACACGCTGCTGCAAAGGAGATCAAGCATCGACACCCGAGCCCTGGGCACTCAACATCCCTCAACCTAAGAACCGAAATCCGCTCAGGAATGCGTCTTCCAACTTTGGACATTTTTCCTGCAGCCGATACTGGAAAGGATAGCAGGTCTTGGAGGACTGTGAGCTACAACAACAAAGAGGAGGCGCGTTCGGTCAGTGACGAAGCCAGGAGTAAAGCCGATACCCCACCATACATCCAAAACCAATTTTGGCTCAGTGGTTAGTGGCTTGCTCCTTCTCTCCAGAAAAATCTGAAGTATCACAAGGACTGTTAAGATCCGCAAACCACAAGAAGGGTTTTATTCAGGTTGCCCTTAGGCGGAAGTTTCTGATGCTGCCAAAAGTGCCCAAAGGGACAAAACCCAGCCGCATTGAGCACGCGTAGACCAGGGTAGAACATGTTGGAATACGTACTTCCTGCCCTGTTGAAAGTCGCAGCTTTCCGTCAGGGCAGCAAGTGGTGGAAGGACCAGTGGTATGGTGGCAGTTCATCTGAACAACATGATGGAAAGAACGGGAAATCGCGAGGATGGTACGAGACACGGCTTCCATTTACAGACTTTCTGTGCGGCATGTATATTAGGGGTTTGCAGCGAATTGCAACTGCCTCTTGTTTCGCAATCGTGCCCTCGGTACGACCGTGTATGCTAGTCTCCGAGAGTTAGCCCTGAAACATCGAAGGTGTTTCGCTACAGCAAACGTCGAAGGGGTTTGCCATGTGATTGAGGTCTGGAAGTGCCATTTCGGCAAAGAGGCATCCTAACGGGAGGCTATTTTGAAGAGCAGGGAAAAGGGAACGGGGCTGATAGCCCCGCTTTGTCGCTATGTCGATAGGCAGCCCGACAGAGGTCGTGCCAAGCAGTCCGGGGCACTCTCCTTCTGGAGGAGGAGCTTTGCCAGATGTTGAAGGTCCCTTGCTACCGGGACAATCTGAGCTAGTCCCGGGCCATGGTCAAGCTGAGGTGGACAATGGGCTGCTAGACAGAGCCTACAACCACCTGCCAGAACAGGGGATGGGCACGCTGGAGCTCGCAGCTCAGGAGTTGGATGATTCCGGGCCAATAGCTAAGCAAATCTGCGACGAACTGGGAGTTCCCTGTCCCAGCTACCTGACAGAAGCCGTGCGGGAGTGGATCCAAGACGCTAAGAAGGAAGCAAGACTTTACCAGAGGGCAAGCGGTGCCTTCTCGGGAAGAATGGCAGCGGCTATCCCCACCGATAAAGGTGAAGGAGCCGGTGCAAGTGGAAGCCACCGCCGGGCGAGAGAAATCGCAAGCTGGAGGAAGGCTTTATCTCTCAGACAAGAGAGGACAGGCTACAAGAGAATTGGGTCACAAAACTAAAGCTGAAACTCAGGGACATTGATGCCCCGGTCTTAGCCTAGCCAGGCTACAAGGAAGCCTGATCAAGAGAGGGCAGCGAGCCTGCTACTGGGGAGGACGAGGCGAGTACCCTGAAGCTCTACCTCACCTACTATCGGCGTTGGAGGTTGTGGCTCGGCGAAGCTAAGCTACGACTACCCCCGTGTAGACCAGCTAATCTGGTGGATTATCTGCTAAGCCGCAGAGATGAACCCTGCGGAAGGATAGTGCCAGACGCGCTGCTAAAAGCTATATTCCTTGGGTCGAGAATGTGGCCGAGCTCTCGTTGGAGCAGAGAGTTACGAACGGACGCTTGGCTTGGGCGGCTAACGATCGGATAGTGGAGCTGTCCGAGGACGTCATCTTTGCCGGTTTCGAGCGCTACAAAGCTACCTCCTCCGAGACGACTGCCGCGGCCTCCGTTCCAGTGAGGAGTCGGGGGCGCTGACACCCCGTTGGCCGCTCATCATGAGCTATGAGCACGCTAACCGCAAGTACACCTACAAACTCATGGCGGCAGATGGCAGACCCTTTGGGGTGACCCTCGCAAAAGCCTGCAAAGACGCTACAGTCAAGGAGTGCAACTTCACAACACCTCTGGCGCTCCATGCGAAGCGACCCCACCCGAACCCTCCGCTAATTCCTTTCAAAGGCGATAAAGGCAAAGGGCGGGGGCGCGGCCGTGGTGGCAAACTACTGACCAAGACGACAAACACTGCTAACCGCACCCATGAAACGAAACCCGTTTGCTTCCGCTACAACGCTAAGGTCGGTTGCAAGAAGGGCGACATGTGCCGCTTCGCACATGTGTGCCTGCGCTGCTTCGCTAAGCATCCCGCTACGCAGTGCCCGACGCTAAAGACCAAAACGCCAGACGACAAGAAGCCGCCGACTAACTGACAGACGTCCTCTGCATTCCAGCCACAGCTCCCATAGCCACCTCGAGGTCGCATGCTACACGTGCTCTACCTCTTCGCAGGTGGCAAATGCAAGTGGGATATGGCTACGTGCATCAAGGAAGCCACAGCTGCAGCGGCAGTCCTGCAGCGTTACAGTGGAATGTCGACATCTGCCGCAGTGCTAAGATGGACGTCTCCAAAAGTCAATTACAAGGCAACGCTATTTGGGGCGGATCCATGCAAAGGAGTTCGGTGCTATCCTGCTATCGGTGCCTTGCTCTACCTTCTCTAGTCTCTAGAGCAACTTTGGCTAACCACCGCGAACCTCGACCAGTTCGCTGCTACCAACGTCCCCGCGGCCTGGACACTTTAACCGCCAATTGAAGGAGCGGGGCAAGGCTATGCTGGGCAACATCTTTGCAGATTATGCAGTGGAGATTTCCACGCTGGCTACCCAGGGAGCTGCTAGCTTTCTGGCCTTTGAACACCAGACTTGGGCACCGCCACTAAGGGTGACCGAGCAGGCCAACAATAGTCACGATGAAACTTCTTGAAGACAGGCTTGGGGACCGTCGCCTCTGCCGCTATACCGCAGTTTGTCTACGAAGGGCAGGCAACTTTCGACGAGAACGGCAACTACCTGGGACCGCTGCCCTCGCTATGAAGCATGCTGCAGAGGAAGGCTCTACGGGAGCCTTCAAGGCCACGGCCTCCGGACAAATGGCTATCCGTCCTGCTGGTCGATATGTCTGGATGCCGCTTCGACTGCTACGTTGGAGAATGTCCAGACTGCGAAGGCTCCGCATCAACGAGCCCGACTAACCTGCCTTCGGCCCGCCGCGCTACTGTCAACAGAAGGTCGGGTGCGAGGACAGCAAGGGGCTAGAACGCGAAACGTTCAGAATGGCGGCAGGTGGAGAGAACGGCTGCCGCCTTGCCAAGGACGAGGAGTTGCAACAGCAGCTGCGTGAACTCTGGAAGGACTGGCTACAAGCCTAAGACGTGGGCCAGGACCTGCTACACAAAACCGAGGAGGGACCGCCTCTTTACTTCAGGCTCCTTCGGCGGCGGACGACCCAGATCGGGAGGACCTCAGGAGAGCTGAGAAATTGTTACGTTTGGGAATTCTGGAACCGCTACCTCGGACACCTCACGTTTTCGAGGAGCACCTAAAGTGGCCCCTGGAGAACGTGCCCTGGGAGGCATCGCTAGCTGCTAGATCTGCTAGCTTGCGTGCCCAACTACTCCTCCGTGGGCGAACACCTGGCCTTTGCTAAGGGGAAGTTCGAGCAGGATGTCAAGGAGGGCCTGTGGCTGAGATGACCCTGCGAGAGTTCAACGAACGCGGATGAGCTCTTTAAGGACAAGAAGCGCATCATCCACCCGACGCTGCTCACGGTGTCCGGGTGAATCACCGAATAAAGTGCCGGAACAAGATTCGAGCACCCGGAGTTAGGGAGAAGAAACAGCTCCGCCGGGAAATGCTAGAGGAAGGCACTGTTGCTAAGGCCCACCGACGCGACGCTACAAGCACGAGCCGTCTGAGCACGGGTTCATGGCATGCCAGCTAGACACCGCGGAGACGGTGCCAGGAGACCCGGACAGCCAGATAGTCTACGTCAACCTGGTCGGGACGTTGGCCTATCCTGTGCCAGCACTGGTGGACGAGGATAGCCGCATGTGGGACTAGGCTTACGTACCACCTGCTAGTGCAGGGTTTCCCGCTAGACATGCTTCTCTACGCTGACGATCTTGAGTCGCTTGGAGGTTTCCAGGTCGAGTGGCTAGGTATGGAGACGGACTCCCCGGGCCACCAGCTAGGTCTCTCCAAGAAACGAGCTAGCTGGCTTGTGGACTGGTTGGAGGACAAATCCACGCTGGGGAAAGTTAGGAGTTCGCCCAGGGACTGGGCCGTCTCGGCTTCGCTGCCACGGCCCTGGATTGGGAAAGACCCTTTCCAGGACCGCTACACGCCTGGTCGTCTGCAGTCAGTCGGCGTGCTAACAGTGCCGACGATGCTGAGGGTGCTTTGCCACTGGTTCGCCGAGCGGCTAGCCGAAGGCGGGAGACTGCAGACACCCGCGCCGCTAGTCGACAGATGGGCTGCTTTGAGGAACCAGGTCTCTCCTGATCCACTGCAGCTGTAGCTCGCAGTTCTTAGCAGACAGCTCGTCGGCTGTCTCCATGAGCACCAAGGTCGATAAGAACTTCGCCTTCTGTAGCAGTGCTTCACTGGACTTGTTGTCCGTGTAGCCACGCATAGCTACCTTGGAGGATTTCGTCTCCGAGCTCTCGCGAGGGCACCCACAGCTTGACCGCGACAAGTGTGGCCAGTAGCTCGAGTGCAGCTGTTCGGGTCGCCTTTAGCGAAAGCCCACGGAGCTTGTTTGCACTTCTAGCGAAGACCATGGCCCCTGGCACCCTGGGACGAGCTCAAGAAAACCCCAGGCCCTGCCGCCTCCACCTCAGAGTCGGCGAAGAAACCCTGGAAGGTTCGTTAAAGTGTAGGATCCTGGACCGTCTTCTGGAGCACTCGTGTAGCTACTACCAGGAGCTAGGAGTGCGGAAAAAGGAAAAAGCGGCGAAGCCACTACGCTTCCCCTGCAAGGTCCGCAAGCTAGGCGCCTGGTAGCCCGAGCGGCTGCGCAAGGAGATTGGCTAGGTAAGATCTCTAAAGACTTTTTCCGGGCTAACAGGCATCCGGTCCACACCTTGAAGAAGAAAACGTCCGCTAGCCCTAAGTAACCGATGGTGTTCTGGGGAGGTGTCGGGATGATCGTTTGGGCTAGTGTACGCAATCGTGCCCTCGGTACAACCGTGTATGCTAGTCCCCGAGAGATCTAACCCTGAAACATCGAAGGTGTTTCGCTACAACAATGCAAACGTCGAAGGGGTTTGCTATGTGATGGAGGTTTGGAAATGGCCGTGGCCATTTCGGCTAAGAGGCCTCCTAACGGGAGGTTGTTTTGAAGAGCCCACCCGTCCGACCCTGGAGATTGGCTAGCGACGATCGCTAGAGACCTTTTCCGGGCTGACTGGGATCCGGTCCACACCTTGAAAAGAAAGCGTCCGCTAGCGAGTGCAGCTTTGCAGCTTCTTCTGTATCTCGATAGCCCTCAGTAACCGGTGGTGTTTTGGGGAGGTGGCGGGATGATCGTTGGGGTTCGTGTACAGGTGGTTGATTGCTGAAGGAGCCTCTTCAGATCCCTTGCTGAGCATCTCTTCACATGTCGGATGCGAAAAACTGCAAGATTCTGTCCTTACCATCGACGACGCGCTGCATCCCCTCCCTGAAGCCTCAGCATCACTTGTGCCCGACGACTGCTCGAACGGCAATGAGCCTCAACACCTTACCAACAGATGTTAACAAATGTTCGTCATCGTGGATCTGAAAAGGCAGGGCTGATGAGGATGGCCGGCAAAGACGAAGATGGTGATTACAATGCTGCAATTGATGATGATGATGATGCTGATCCAGAAACTCTCTGTCTGTTTATTTACTATCTCTCTCTCTCTCTCTCTCTCTCTCTCTCCCTCTCCCTCTCTGTCTCTCTCCCCGCATAGCATGGTGTTGCCAGCCATGCTGTGATGTTAAATCTGCCGCTGCTGCTGCTGCTGCTGCTGCTGCTGCTGCTCTCGCCTTCGTCGTAAACGCTGCGGTCCATGTCTCCATGCATGCATTGAAACTCCTTGTCTACAAAGGACTCTTGGTCGCGGAAAGACGACGACTGGCGTGACCACGGCTCCAGATCCAAATGGAATGATGAGAGCTCGTGGAGAGACTGGACAAGACGGGATGATGACTGGGATGATGGTGATGCTGCGTTCTCCGACACAAGCGCCTTTGCTCCACAGGTATGAGTCGAGTTGGTGGCTTTCTCTGTTCATTTTGTAATGTTCACGGGTGTGGGTCAGGGCAATGCCATGTGGCTTTTGGCTGTTAGCGTTGATAGCTGTGATAGCTGTTACGGGGAACAAATCAAGAGGGAAAAACCGCGTCCGCGTGGCGACACCTTGAGGTGAATCCTTCCCGAAGACGCACAGCAGCCCTAATTACTGCGCCGCAAGCAGCAAGAGTAGTTGTAACGGTTGCCAAGGACAATGAGATTATTTAATGATTATTTGCATCTGCCTTAGCTGGCCACCCCGATGTGTAGATCTACATGATCTACAATCTAGAATGCAATGTGCGTGTGTATACGTGGATGCGAATGCGTATCATGCGTATCCGTGTATCTGTGTCTGTATTTGTCTGTGCATGTGACCGTGCATAAGTGTGTTTGTGTACAAGTCAAAAATTATGTATGTATGTGTGTGTGTGAGCATATGTGTATGTGCATGTGTCTGTGCCTGTGTATGTGTGGGTGTATATGTGTATATGTTTGTCTGTTTGTTTATATGAGATATGCATGTGCAAATACTGTGCGTGTGCGTGTGTGCATCTGTATATACTTGTACGCATACTTGTGTATATACATATACAAGAGTATACGCGTGCAAGTATATGCAAACGAAGTACACATACGCAAATACATGTATATGTGTATATTATATACATGGATATGTATTCATACGTGTATATCTGTATATGTCTATATACACACATACACACATACGTACATTTGTACATATGCATATTCGCATATATGTATGCACGAATATATGTATAAACGTATATACGTCTTTACGTATGTAGAACATGCTCGCAACATACTGCAATGTGGGCGGTTTTGTGGCCACCACGTATGTTTTGCTATGTGTTGCCCGAAGAAGCGCCCGCTTTGCTCAAAGCCACCTGTCTGCTTTGTTTTGCCGCCGTGACACGACCTCGTACCTGCGGGGATATAGCGATCACGGGCGATGGTCGCTTGCTTTGGCGACTGCCTCTGAATCTCGCTGTGTTTGGACTTGTCTGATGTGGTGGAAAGACTCGCGTGTTTCGTGGCAAGGAGAAACAGTAGGAGTGGCGGAAAGCCATGTGCCACAAAAAGCCTGATGCAGTCGGAGAAAGACGCATGTCAACCAGTGCAATTATGATGTAGATATTCGACCCCTTTGAAAAACTTGCTTTTGTTGTCTCATCCACGAGTCCGGGGGGACATCCAAAGAAGTCCGAGTTAAGATTTTCGACTTGGCCGAACAAATCTCGAGGGTTTCAGGGTTTGGGTTTGTGTTAGGGTTTAGGGTTCAGGCCTTGCTGCGATAGGTTCATTGAGGAAGATTCAATGATCCGGTGAGCGGGTTGTCGTTCCCGTTGCCTCTTGCATATTCAAGTGCTTTGGTTTGGGACAGTCTTCAGAACACGCTTGTCAGGGGCATGGAGACCGCACAGGAGCAGTGCAGCACGTGATTCGTTGATTCTGCATGCCAGGGGCAAGTAATCGGATATGGCGCACCAGCCATCGGGATCCAGAGGATGTAAATGATGAGTACGGCGAGGTGCTCCGAATCTGTGCTTTCTGCAAGCATGGCCAACTTTTTTGTACCGCAACGTCGCATGTAGACCCTGCGTATTCGTTCAGCGGCCCTGCGAAGATTCAGAGTGATGCTTTTGACTCCCAGTGTTCAGAGGATACAAATCAGTGGGGTCAGCCAGCTGTTCCAGCTTTTTTGGTGGACCTGGTCAGATGTACATGTCCATGACCATCTCAAACTGTTTCCGTGAGGCTAAAGAGACTCCAGAAGTTTGGGATAATGCTTATGTGCCCTTTAAGGGTAGTGTAGGGTTCTATAGTAGGGGTCCCCTTACGGGTACGCTAGTGTCCGAAAGCTGACGAGAACCTTGCCCAAGAACCGGCTTCGCAGGCGAGCCAGAATAGTGACAATTTTGAGAGCCTCGGCCAAAAAACGGCACTTCTCGATGAATTTGCTGGTACATTGCACATGATCTTTATAATATTATAATATGTTAAAGATGTTCTTGCTTGTTATTACAGTATTCATCTTGCAATTCTTGTTTCGTGTTGCCGAAGGCTCTCACTGGAAGTCGGAGGTCGGTCGCAGCCAAGGCATGGTATGACAGAGGAAAAGAAGGAGGAGGCCGAGAGAGCGAAAGCACACTTTCGTAATATTTTGACACTGTGTTACCATAAATAAATATCTTATAGCATATTGTAATATGGTAGAAAGGAGCATATTATGGGATAGTGCACGATAGCGCTGCAAGACCAGTACCACTGCAGATTTTGGCTGCAGAGTCTAGCAGAGACGTGCAACGCCTGCAGGAGTTTATGCCCTGGAAGCGTCGAGAAGAGGAGAAGGTGCCCGTCTAATGCGATGAGGGCATCCCGTAGCTACTGGTACCCTAAACCCTATAAACCCGAATCCCTAAGCCCTCTAAGTCCTCGTAGAACCGTCTTACTGTTGATACTTCAGTTCAGGTTCGAGTGCAGTTTGCGATTGCACGCTGTGTTTTTTGCTGTGGCAAGCAACCGACCCAACAGAGAGCAAGCGGAAGCCCGTCTCGATAGGCAGTTGCAAGCGAAGCGGCCTGTGCCAAAAGCCAAGTGGCAGGAGAACGAAGCCGGAAAGGATGACAATCTGGGAGTGAAGGCCCCTGACTGCAAAAGCGGACAAGTTTCTCAAGCGTTTGTTGCATCTTTGACTTTGTCGTCCTGTGCAGTGTGTGGCTAGGACTTGGTCTGATCGCCTCTCATACATGTACTCTACATGGCTGTATGGAATAGTTCTTGTCGGTATGAGAGAGAACATGTAGGTATACAGTCACCAGTATCCAACACACTGACGGTGTGACTTTCTCGGGTCTGCAAACACTGGAGGGGAGCCGGCACATATATATATATACATACATACATATATATATATACATATGGCATATGTATATATATATGTATATGTATATACATACACACACATATATACATACACACCCACACACACATACATAAACACATTCATGCATGCATGCATGCATGCATGCATGCATGCATGCATGCATGCATGCATGCATGCATACTTACATACCTACGTACGTACGTACGTACGTACGTAAGTACGTACATACGCAACATACATACACACGCATACATACATGCCTGCACACATACATGTACATAATACATAAACCTATTACATATACAGATGTCTAGACATGATCCATGCACGATTTATGGAGTTTGTTTGTAAACATGCCGTTACACTGAAACCACTGAAACCCACTCAAATTGCATCCTGGACCCAGTGAGTACTGTCATGCACTCAGGTACCCATAATAAAAGATGATCAGCCGCCGCTGGCGAGTCCCGGCCTCGGTGAGAGTTCAGCACACCCAGGCCGTCGAGCGAAATACCAGGCTTGACAACGACAGCAGAATGAAAGGCATGTGAGCAAGGGTAAGACCTTAGTAACAGAAGTTTTCATTGGATCGTTAGGTTTTGCACTTGTACTTGTCTGTTGCTTCTTCTACATGACAATCACGACGGCGAATGCTATCTGTGCCATTGGTATTGCTGCCGCTATTGCTGCTATTGCCATGACTGCTACTACTAGTACTACTAGTACTAGTACTAGTGCGTACTAGTGCTAGTGCTAGTAGTAGTAGTAGTAGTAGTAGTAGTAGTAGTGTAGTAGTAGTAGTAATAGTAGTAGTAGTAGTAGTAGTCGTCGTCGTCGTCGTAGTCGTAGTAGTAGTAGTAGTAGTAGCACTACT